AGTTTTTCGTTTTGTTATGTTAATTTTTAGGTTATTTTTCTCCAGCCATTATGTGACTTGGTATCACAACTTGCAATGTGATACCAAGTGTTGTGTCATCTCCAAATAGGATACACTTTTGGTCAGCAACACTAGGTAAGGTATTGATATATAGTAAAAACAAAAGTGGTCCAAGTACACTACCCTGGGGTACGCCACAATTATATAGTGTATGTTTAGAAGTATAAGATTTTGTAGAATAACCTTTCATCTTAGATATTTCGACACACTGTGAGCGGTTACTTAGATAACTTTTCATCCATTCCAAGGTATTGCCCCTTATTATTTATATATCAATCTAATTTGTGTAGGAGTAACTTGTGTGAAACAAAATCAAATGCTTTGCTCATGTCTAGGTCTATTGCCAAGTTTAAGATTGAGATTGTGTGTAATATATTTTATGAGATTAAAACATGCCAGAGCCGTACTTCTGATTTTTTCAAAATCCAAATTGTTCGTCTGTAAAAATTTCTTTAAATTAAGTAAAATCGTAAACTTTATCATACATCACTTCTTCAAATACTTTTGAGAAGATTTAAATAAGTGTTATAGGTCTGTAAATACTTAGTTTATTGAAAAATCCTTTTTTATATAACGGTTTAATTAATGAGTGTTTTAATACTGAAGGAAAGTGACCCTTGAAAAATACCAAGACAGTGAAAGTGAAAAAGACAAATTTATAATGTGAGTCAGTGGATGTACAATAAAACTAGCACTTTTTTGATGACTTCCGTACCATCGATGCCAGTTGAGTGCGCGTTTTTAATTTGTTTTTTATCTCATAAATTTATTAACCGGTGTTAGGTAAAAACATTTTTTTTTGTGTATTTAATTGTATTTGATTAAGGCCCATGTTATTTTTTTTTCGAAGTGGTGTAAAAGTTTTTTTGTTAACTATTTCAGATGTAAGCTTTTTGGGAGCGATATCTAAAGATCTTTGTACTTTGTTTGTAATGTAAACAAAAAGAATTTCCTCTGAAATAAATAGAATCGAAATTAATTATGTGGTTAAGTTAGAAATATATGTGTATAGGTATGTAGAAACGTTAATTAATTGTTTTTCGTTGATTTTCAAAACATACGTATTTGAATCAACTGAAGCTTTAACTGAACAATATTTTTCGCAATACGGGCGACTGCTCCAAACTGACCGTAATTTTTATACAATATGCTTAATAAAGCAGATTTTGGAAGCATTTTTCGTTAAGAATATTTTCATTTTCATAGCAGTGTGAATGCAAAATTGTTCGAATATAATAATTTGAAAATATTTTATAAGACTATCAATATGGGTTGGGACTCCGAAAACAACCATCAAAGCCTAGAGAAAGCCCAACGTGCAAATCTTAGAGTAGTTACATATAAGTCGATTTTGTTCCCGACAGAATCACTGTATAATATAAATATTATTTATGGGGTTTTGATTGTTTGGCAATTATATATATTGAAATGCGCATTACTGCAACATGAAAAAAGAAAAGCATTTGATTAAGCTTATTTGTGAAAAGGCACAAACGACGAAATGTCATGAAATATCCTATTACTATCAACACATCTTTTGTAACTAAATGTATGTATTTTTGGGTAAACAAAAATATAATAAGCTAAATAATATATTAAACATCTATCCACTAAATTAAGTACAGTATAAAAAAAAAACTATGGATAAAATCTTTTAGCTATCATAACTCACCCTCCCACATATACAAATTCATTAACATTTTATTCAAAGGGGTAATTCATTTAATTTAAATTTCATTTCATTAAATTTATATATTGTTCCTTTTTAATATATTTATTAATTTTTTTGAGATAATTTTCAATTAGTTTAACTACCAAAATCATTAATAAGTATTATAGACAATACTGGGAGGGCACTGTAAGCCGAAGTACAATGAACTAGCTCGGCTACAGATACTTATTTTTTAATAAAATTCGTTAGCCATTGTTTTATAACGTTTTATCTTAAGTATTTATTTTTTAATTGTAAATTGTAAGGCTGTGTGTAAATAAAAAAATATTATAATATATGCTTTTAATTAATTAATTGATAATACTGCATTATATCAAGGAAAGGTTAAGTAATTAATAAATTCAACAAATTTTAGCATCATCCCTTTCTTTCTATAGCAAAAAGCAAACATTGAATAACAGGTTGGGGTTCGCAAAATAATTCTCCTTGTGTATAAGCTTTGTGCGTTTATTTTTATATCCGATAGATTATATTTTCTTTTTCTTTTACTTAACCACAACTAAAACTTGTTGTTCAAAAAGAAAAACAAATCGAATCCTACACTTAATTTTTTGGCAGAAATTATGAATCTAAGATCAGAATGCAAGTATCGTAACATTTAAATTGCCTGTTAAAAATATCTCAACGACTATATTAATAGAGCTATCGATATAAAAGAGAGATGGCTATATTTCCACGCTTTCTTAAAATATGGAAAATATATGCCCACACATTAAACAATAAGAAAATAAGTAAAAACGTGAACAATAACTTCACCGGTACATATTGTGGTTTTGTCGAGTGAATGAAAGTATAACCATCCCGGCTTCAGAAATAATGAGCACATATGTAAAGCGAACGTAAAATTATATTGTCTGTAATTTAGGCGTATGAAAATGTTGGGTCTCGTGTTTTTCGATCTAAGTTTGCAGACAATAAAGTTTTAGGTCCACTGTCTGCCTTCAGAGACTTTTTACTACGTAAACTTTCGGGTTGTCGGTCGCCTCTAGGATACGACCATCAGTTAACCATCGATCATTATTATATGTAGACATTTTATACATATTTTTTCTTTAGATATTAATATGAAAATAGCTATTCTAATAAAGTATATTAATAGAAAAATGTAATATGAATAAACATTACCTACATATATATACCATAAAGTATTTGTGTATTGTAACAGTTTGTATTAACAGCATTGCTAAAACCATCAAAATACAAATTTTGTTCATTTATCATTCGAGTTTGGAGGTAGTGATCACCAGTCGAGTTTCAAAAAATACTGAAAGAGAGTTTAATTTAGCAATGGGGAATGAAGACATATTTTTCTGTAGATTCTGTAATTTTTCTGTATTTGTAATACAGTACAATAAATCTTAATCATCATACTGAATAAGTTTGTCTACGATCAGTGCACGTTCTGTTAGTTCGTGTGTAGCGTGCTGTATGTGCGGAGAAAGTCTGTAAGGTCTGTACGGCAAGATTTACTACCATCCCTAAGGTATAATATATTGACAATCCTAGATTTTCCAGTAATCATAAAATTGGACTATAGATTTTTATGTACAATATATAAATAATGCATTACAAGAAGTAGTCTTTTCTTTATCTAGATATTTCAAGACCGATCAATTCGTACACAAACAGCGAAGGATTTTAGGAAATATTTTTTTTATAAGTACCTAAACACCACATATACACACCATTAAAAATGTATTACGCACTGATTCATAAAATTATTTCATTTGGAAAACATTAATTACATTAAAATGATTCTGAATTTAAAATAATATATAATATTAATTAAATTATTAAGGAAATATAGTAACAAATATGAAAGTAAAATAAAAAAATAAACTTAAATAGAAAACTGATCATATAATTAAACAATAAGATAAAGAAAATGGGTTGCGTTAAAAATAAATACATTTTAATAATATAAGTAGTGGATACGATATCAATTTTTAAAAGAATTCGCACATTTTGAGAAAAATGTCTGTGTCAAATCAATAACAAGAAAGAGAAAATTTAAAAAAAGTTTTTTTTTTTAAAGTATTTATATAGAATAAATTATAATCAAAAAGAAGATTTTTGGTAAATAAATGCATAGTGCGCAATTTTCGTAATTTAAGCCGATTTCTGCCCATCCTCCTTTAAACCTTAGGAAATGAGACAAGTTATATAAAGGAGCATACGTCATGATGTTATGTGAAACCAAATTATATATTTTGATGAGTAATGTCTTTTGTTCTATGATAACATAAAAACCATGGTTGTTGGAAATGATAGAAATAACATTCTGTCTACCAATTTACGACATACGAAACCTCGCTGGATAGTTAGGTATATTGCTTACAAAAGAACTTCTATCGACAAAAGGAATAGTATTTTAAATGTTTTCAGTTTTGAATGTAAACTTAAATTTTATTGGAAAACTAAAATTGAATTTAAGTTTTTGATTTGGTGCTTAAAACAAGCAAGCATATATTTACAACACAAAAAAATATATATAACAAAAAAACATTATATTTACATTTCCTTTTTCATTATATAAATAATATGTCGTGTAATGTAGATATAATTGGTAAACTACCCTCAGTTTTAAACTACTTTCATATTGGTTATATTATAGTGGACAATTCGATATAAAACCTTGATGGAACATATGATTTTTTCTCTTCTGAAATTAGAACGAACCAAGATTTATTTGAAGTGTGTCCCTAATTTAAATGGGACAAGGTTAAAGTGTATTTTTTTTATAAAAAAAAGAATCATTAAAAAACTATCTGCCATGTAAAAGTCTTATTTGTACTTATATACAAAAATAATCACGTCAACTTAAGAGCATCCGGTATTTAGTTAAATTAAAAATAATCTATTCAATCATATATGTGTTAGGTTTAAATTAATCTACATTAATAATTACCTTAATTTTGAATAAGAATAATAATTTCGTCTGTCAATACTTTTAATATACTTTATGGATTAGAGTGGCAACACTGAAGGAACAAAGACCGATATAATTTAAAAGGCGGGATTCTTGATCCATCTTGCAACGAGGTAGGACGGAAAAAGTGTTGTTGGTGGATTGTGGAGTTTTTTACGAACAAGGAGCAATAAAGGTGTAATTACAAGGTAACCATGTGTTTTTATTATAATAACAATCTCAATATAGCTTAATATTGCTTTATAATGCTTATTTAGCATTATATAGTCGATAACTTACCTTGGTATCTTAAACAATAATTGTCTGCGATCGTGTTTAAATCTGTAAAAGAAATACAAATATAAAACTTTATATTTAAAACTAACGAAACAAGAGGTGAAAACGTGATATCAATGTATTTATTCGTATTTTAAGACTCAATAAATTCGATCATAAATTTTTATGTGATACTGAATAATCCAAAGATAGATTTCTCTAGTGTATTGTTTTGGTTACCCAAAATAAAACTTAGGAAGACCAAGGTTACATTCGAAGTCCATTCTGTCGAACACTTTATAAGATCTGGAAGCGAGAGAATTATATAAATGGCGTCATATGTGTTGGCGTCTATCGATTGAGGAAATAAATAATCTGTCATTATTTGAAGTGACGGATTTATCAACAGTCTGAATATACAAAAACCTATTGCGGTAGATTTAAAGAGCGGCAAATATATATTTCTTTGTGAGTTAGTTACCAAAACAGTATTATAGAGAAAAAAAAAATGTTAAAAAACTGTCCAATTAGTATTACATTATTAATATTTTATTGCATACACAAAAGCAATTTCTCATGCTCTATTAACTTAATCTTAACTGAATCATTGGATAAAAAAATAAACTAAGAACACACATAATCACAATAATTGCGACAAAAGGTGTTGCAGAGTTTGCAAATTGTCAATATGTTTTTAAAATATATCCTGGTTATAAAACATGTATCATATGTCATAGAGTATGAAGTAAAAACGGTTTTTTTTTCTGTTAATAACTAACTTTTCTCCATTAAAGTTCAAAGTTTGCATTATACCTATAATATAAAACTATCGTAAGAATACTTGTAAAAAAATATTTATTGACTTTCGAAGGCGCAAGATCAGAATAGTGATTCTTTTTAACTTTATTGTTTTATTTGTGACGCTATCGACGTACAGTCATTCTTATTAAACTGTTCTAAGTGTTAATGCCCGTCTTACTTTTGTTACTGAACATTATCTTTTAGACATGGAATATACTGAAAGTTTCTGGAACTGACCATCTATAAGAAACAGAATATCTTTTACTAACCGACTTCCGAGAAGAAGTTTCTTTATTTGTCGCGTATATATTTTTATAGTTGAATGTTCAACAATTGTTTCATTTGACCAATTTTAAAAATCCTTTTTTTAGACAATTTATGGGAAGGTGATCCCACATTAAATTTATCTAAATTAGATACGAATTTTGTTTTTATGAAAAAGTATCTGGAAGCATTTTAGCCATTTACCAAAAATTACTTATTTGCATCGTCTTCTTTATATCACTGTCTCGTCTTATTTAAAAAAAGTAAATGAATTTTTCATTAGTTTGGTTTTAATTTTATATATTATTTTTAATAATATATATCCAGTAAAAACGACAAATATAACTATAAAATTACTACAAATATGATGCATAAGCCGTCCGAGCTGAGTTTGGTTTGGCCGTGAAGTTTTGTTTGTATTTGTAATGGAGCTTCCGACTAAGTCTTAAATACTCTTGCCCAGTCCTCTTCCCCTTGCTTGACCATGCTGATTCATGTTATTCAGACTAAAGTGCCATTTTCGTAAACAAACTTGAGCGTCTTCAGAATTTGTGCATCAGTTAGCCATTGGTCTGTGTAAGTATGAACATATCTCTGATTATCGAGCCCAACTTCAATGGCTACCTATATCTCGTAAAAAAAGACACGTCCTGTCTATTTATTTTCCACCCTTTTTCACCCACACACTCCATATTTTTTTAAGGAGCGTTTCGTCTTTCACTCTTCGAATCTACCTATGGAATACAATACTGGGATCCCCCGTAGGATAAGCAGGATTAAAAGGTAGCAAAATTCATGCGTAAACTCCGACATATAAATTGTAAAGTTAGGAGCTATTTAAATAACGATACAATAAATACCTTAACGCTTATTATGTAGTTATTTTCAAAGTAATATTTAATGATAATTCTTTTTTTTAATTAATACTGTTTTTGGTAGCGTGGTGCCCTAGTGAATAAGCACAGAGGCCCGCGATCGTTTTTGTTAAGCAACTTTCGCTTGACCAAAAATATTATCTTGAAATACTCCGTGCTTCAGCAGAAATGTTAAGCCGTTGTTGTCGGCTGCATTTGCAGCCGTTAATACCCTCCAATCTGCACTGGGCCAGCGTGCAGGACATGGCCCATCCTCCTAAACCATCCATAAGAAAGGCCTAATCCCCTGCAGTGCGGACGTAAAAGGGCTGATGCTGATGATATCATCATGATTGTCTTTGGAGAATATATAATAATTAAAAATTTAAATACTTTTTAAATTCATAGTTTTTCAGTGATACCCTTTAAAGTTATCATTTTACATATTTTTTTTATCAAAGTCTTATTCAGTATGCGGGATCTTGTGGGATTGAGAGTTCCCAATTCCTCAAATACTGGGATTGCATTCTCCAATTCTACCTGAGATCTGTGGTCTTCCTATAACTAATCCTTAGTTACCCCCACGCACACCTCTGCTAATTTTCTGTCAGAACTACCAAATTATGAACCTACCAGGCAGTGGCCTGTAAATATTAGATGTGCACAGTCACGGAACTACTAATAAAGGAGCATTTTCACGAATGCTCATTTATTAATAGATCCATGAAAATAGAGTCTTTGTCTTTTATAAATGTCTATTAAATTATGTATTTACTATTATAAATGTTTTATTGTGTTCCTCCTACTAATGCACCAAATTGCAGTTAATTTCCTTAATAGGCATTGATTCCTTTAGCCTTATTAAAATTGCTATTTTATTAATAGCGCCACCTTTTGTGTTACTGTACTAGTTTTATGTACTTTTGATATGTCTTATAGTGCAAAGATGTTCTTTCACTGAACTAAGTAAATGTCTAAACACATTTTTCAAATATAGCGAACCTAATAAATAAATTACTCTAAAAGCATTGATAATCTCTGAAAGATATTTTTTATCGACAATATTAAATCTGTTGGGTCCAAGTAATTGATCCGACAGCTGCCATTATTACTTTGCATAAAAACTAAATGTCAAATTTGCTTTTGGTACAGAGTTTTTTAACAGTAATGATCTTATTGGGAAATTTTATGTGGAAATTTTGCTTTGATATTTTGAATACAATTTAATTTTTTCCTCTTATAGTAAACAATTTTCGTCTAACGTGAGCAAAACATGGCACATAATTGTAATTATTGGAAAACTTTTTAGGGAAAAGTTTCTTCCCATTTAATATGTAAATTCAAAACATTTTTAATAAAGTTTATTTAATTAACTTAAGTTTGTATATACCATTTTGTTTGAAACTTTTTGCCTAGAATAGCACCACCCCCACTCGTCTCGTGGTTAAGGGAACACAGCCATTATGAGATGGGCAGCAGCGTAACCTAAGAACTTTAGCCCACTGAGATCGCCAACCCGCCTCCCAAGCGCAGCAATAATGGCAATTTGCCCTTACAAAAATGGATAACACAAAAATAAACCGCAACTCGTCCCCGGCAGCACTACTATTTCTAGTTATGGTAGCGACTACGGAAACGGTAGACAAAGGGGTGCGAAGAATCCCTGGGTAAGATCCGGCTTCTATCTACGACGATTTGACCTGGCAACACGCCAACAATGAGGACTGACGCAAAGCTATCGGAGTTGGAAGAAGATACAAGTTACATTGGGACATTGTCGAATTATCTGAATTCCGAAGAGATGGTAGTCCCTTGTAAACAACGTGATTACCATTGGAAGTGTGTCGACTAGGGTAGCATACCTGATACTCAAAATATCAAATTTCAAAAGTTACGTTACCCACTACAGGAATGTGATGGGGGACTTTAACGCAAAGATAGGAAAACTTTACGGTGATGAGTTGAGAATGGGGCATTGAGTGCCAGAACTCCAGAGCCCAGACATTATGAACTTCGTCAGGAAGCATCTAAATTGAAACTGGACCTGGATGAGATCGGACAGAACTTCGTCAGGAAGCCGCTAAATCGGAAATGGACCTGGATGAGTCCGGACGGTAAAGTCAAACACGAGATTGATTTCATTATATCAACAAAAAAGCAAATATTCAATAATGATCTGAAACCCCGAAAGCTTTTTTTGTTACTTTGGCATCCTTGACATCAGTTTGGATAAGGACGATCTAAACAGTATGGTGGTCGATAATGGCCGTACGGTAGGGTCCAAGTTCTTCAAAACCCGTCGTACCAGAACAAAGAAACTCGATAACACACTCCATCTGATGGAAATGAGATATGAAATGGGGATGCAAATCGTTATCGGCTGTTAAATAGGCAGATATCAAAGTATTTGACAAGCGACCTTCGCCAATTTAATAAGGGGCGAATCATAGAGGCCCTCTCCATTGCCTCTAAAAAAACAAAGGCTCCAAAGTTTCTGCGAAAGTTCTGTCTATTGGGCAAAGCCAATGGACGAGGCTGAAATTCGAGAACGGTAGCATTATCACATTGTTGCAAGTTAATACGAGTTACGCCACAGTCTTTGAAGCGTGTCGGATCTTTGACTGCAACCTCTATCGTATGTTTTTGTCGTATGTGTTTCACTTTTCATCACCAGTTATCAACTCGGCAAAAATGATTCGGTTTCATTACGCCGTAGTAAAGAATCAGAAATGAGTACACGATTCATTAGGCTTCTTTCAGTGAGTTCGTCAGGTACCCAAATATCCAACTTTTTATGTATCCAGCTTTTTTCAAATGCACCAAAGCTGTTTTGTGGTCAATACTCAGTTTTTCAACTATGTAATTTTATCCGTAACAGAAAAGAAGATTTTGTTAATTTGCACGACATAATTTTTCCAATAATCTATATTCATACTTTAAAAAGGAAAAATTTGATTGCTTATGTGTTTGTATTAGATAGGCTCCGAAACTATTGGACCGATTTATAAAAGTCTTTCATTTACGGAAAACTATATAGTTTTCCGTAAATGATTTTAGTATATAATAAGCGTTGATTGGAAGCTACATAATTTACGCAGGAGAAGTCACAGGGAGACAGCTTGTTTGATTGAAATTGGTTTAAAATTC